CGGGTTCAAACCATTTGCTGCACAAAGAAAATAGAAACGACTCTCGTGAGTTTATTGAGCTACAAACACAGTCAGCTTTCTTACATGGCTCTCGAAATAAACAAGTCATTCTTAATTCCTAATAAAGCGAAATCTTCTCGACATATAATAGATCCGTTATTGACCAAGCTTGTTGGGCAAGAATGGCTGGATATTAGCTTCGTTCTTTTTATGCATTTTTATGGACCTCGACTTCGTCTCAGTCAATAATATGCAAAAAAAAAAAAAAATGAAATTAAATAATAAAATAATCGGCCAATATCCAGCAATCTTGACCTCGTGCTTCATCAGCAACGCACAAGTATCCGATCTCTGGGAGATCTCTTGGGGAGCAGGGATGGCGCAGTGGTGAGAGCACTCGCCTCCCACCACTGTGGCCCGGGTTCGATTCCCGGACCTGGCGTCTCATGTGGGTTGAGTTTGTTGTTGGTTCTCGTCCTTGCTCCGAGGGTTTTTCTCCGGGTCCTCCGGTTTTCCTCCCTCCGCAAAAACCAACGTTCCAAACTCCAATTCGATCTGGAACAGTGGACAAGAATAGCCACCCAGTGGATGTTCATTGCTAAATCATTTATTTATTTTATATATTTATTTATTTATATTTGATCTCTGTAGTTCAGTGGTAGAGATTCAGAATGTCCAGTCTTAAATTATAGGATCCTACTGCCCTGGGGACGCAGATCTTTTCTGTGTGACAAAATGAATGACATGTATTTGTATTAGCTGAAAGACCTCAAAGTTTTCGGATGCTCTTACACTATGACACAATTATTCCTGAAAAGCGCGTCAGAAATGAAATGGTAGAGAGTCAGAGACTACGTTTAAAATGTTGCTAATACATTAACAAGCATCTTTTTTCATGAAAGCTGATGTTTTGCTTTTTCTCTCATGATTACACAGTTCCTCCAACACCCAAGGCTCCGGCCCCAGGTAACGTGTAGTGTCTTTAAATGCTATTTTCTGAGGGAAATAGTAACTTATGTCACTGGGTGCTGAATAATTTTTCTCCCTTTGAAACTAGAAAAGAAGTCATTGACATTTTATTTCAAATCATCTGAATTCATTTTTTCCTCTTCGTCTTCAAAAGTTTGCGAGGACAATGCAAAAGGTTGTGCAGCCCATAAAAATAAATCTCCAACATACTGCAACACCGATCATGCAGGAGTAGACTGTCGCAAGACTTTCGAACTTTGCTTTCGTCTAGTAAGTACAGAGCTTATGTTTCGGAAAAAGAGTCTGCTGGAATTCCCAGGTTTATGCAAAAATAAATTTCCTCAACTCTTTTTTCCTTTTCAAATCATTGCAGGCTTGACGGGGAAAAAGAAGTGAACAGGCAAGGAGATTACATTTTGACACTGCCAAAAATTGCATTTAATTAACTGTAATGAGAGTCTGAAAACTTTGTTCAAACTTTAGAAATGGGGGGTCAAGTATCAGGAAAATGCTTTTAAAAGGTGATCAAAGTTGTATAACACTGCTTAAGTTAAACTGAATAAAAAGATAAAAAAAAATTAGATGGATCTGATAGCTTTAATTGTCTTACGGAATGGTAAACTCGTTTAGAACAGACCTGTTGCCTTAATCGTGCAATGTACGCGGTGCAGATACAAATACAGATCTTTATTGAAGCGTCCTAGATGGGTTTTTCAGCATCGATACAAATACTCAAAAGAAAATGGACAAAAGTTAAAGGATATGGTTTCGTGATAAACCTTAAAATGAATTGTTTCCACTAACTCCTTTAGTTCCTTTATCCTTTTCTCTTCTTTTTCTTCTTTTTCCTCTTTTTCGTCTTTTTCGTCTAAATGCAACAACCTACTGCACCTTCTTATATAGTTCCTTACAATCTTTCTAGAAGATTCTACAGATTTACAACACGANTGTCCATCTTTTCCGGGAATCGTCTCAGCTATTCTGCCCAGAGGCCATTGTCCTCGTGGCGTATCCGGAGATATTACCAGTACTATATCACCAACTTTTAAGTCTTTGCCGTGTTTGAACCACTTTTTCCTGGCATTCAACTTCGGCAACCATTCTCGCATCCATCGATTCCAAAAGTGGCGAATTAGTTCTTGAACGCGTCTCCATCTTTTACGAAGATTGAAATCTGTCTGGTCCACGGATTCTGGAGCGAACTTTCCACCGATCTGACCATGAAGAAAATGGTTTGGTGTTAATGAGACGTTATCTGCTGGATTGACTGACTGATAGGTTAACGGACGGGAATTTATAAGTCCTTCAGCACCTGTAAAGGCTTTCATCAGTTCCTCGTCTGTTACATCAGCGTTTCCTAATATACCATATATTGCTTTCTTAGCTGCGTTGATCATCGTCTCATGTGCGCCCCCAAAGTGAAGAGCCAGAGGAGGGTTAAAATGCCATTTTACTCCTCTATTAGCAGTTGAACTTGCAATCTTGTCCTTGTCTTGTTTCTCCATTAGCTCTCGCAGTTCTCGAGAAATTGGTTCCATTATCCGAGATCATTTCTTCTGGCAGTCCTCGCCGACTTGCCATTCGACAAAACGCATTCAAAAAGGAATGAGTGTCGAGACCATATGCAATCTCCAGATGTACAGCTCTCGAAGTTAAACACGTGAACAGGCAAAGGTATCGTTTGGCCCTACGCTTTCCTCTTCCTTGGATTGTTTAAATGGGCCTCCAAAATCCACTGCTGTGCAAGAGAAAGCACGAAGCGGCATCTTTAACCTGATCTTTGGCAGATGTGCCATAACCTGCTGAGCTGCCTTTGCCTTTCTTCTTCGACACTCATAACATTCTCCTTCGCATTCTCTAATTTCTTCTCAACCTTGCATTAGCCAGAAACGCGACGAAAGCATTGCCAACGTTTGGTTTGTCCCTGCTGTGTGATTTCCTTGTTGATGATACCACCTTACTATCAGTTTTGTTACCCACTCTTTTCTTGGCAATATTATGGGATACTTGACGTCGTATGGTAAGTATTCGGCATTCTCTAATCGACCGTCGGATCTCGTTACGCCGTCTTCGTCCTGTCTTCGCTTTAACGTAAGCAATTACTGCTCATGGGAAGTGGTTTTCCAGAGGATAGTGCTGAATACTCTGCTTTAAACGACCTACTCTGTGCGGCTTTTATGATCCTGATCTCAGCATCTTGGATTTCCTCGACAGTCAGCTCACCCCTTGTTCGTCTACCGTTTGGAAGTAAGCAGTTGTTCAAGAAGCGGTAAATCCATGCTTGGATTCTGGTTAGTCGCA